AATGCATTGCACAAAACTTTATAAAATCTTTTCTCTGTGTCTAAATAATATATAGTATAATCCTGGTTTGATGCGGCACACACCTAATTATAAATGAATTTAATCAAATTTGTGGCATGGGAATCGACCCTAGCTATAGCTATAAAGCGTGAGCTAAGCTCTTGAGATGAATAATTTATAATTTAGCAGGTAAAAAAGACTGTGTGGGGGCATCTTATGGTAGAATTACTTTAATTAGAAAGCAATACATTATAAGCTTCAAATTTTATTTTTTATGGTAAAGACACAATCACACTAACTATAGGAAAAGATTGATGCCCCTTCAATCACCAAAAAAATAAAAAATGGAATATATCCTTGGTACTTGAAAGAGAAACCAGGTAACAAAGTCAATATTATATTTGCAGTGGTTATATTCTGCTTAAATGCATCTAGAATCAAACTGCCTCAGAAAGTTATGGAGTGGATTCCTCTCCCAAGTGATGAGCTTCCACTTCTATGGATGGCTTTCCTATTATAGTTAGAAAAACAGTATTAGAAAGAGATATTTGGTGCACATTATAAAAGGATTGATCTTAATCAATTAAGAAATCAACCTCACAGTTCATTGTATCGGATGGTTATTGGTTAAGGCCTGGCTAATTGAACTAAACAAGAACTATTAAACTTAATCTGATGATGACCGACACTTTCTCTGCTCTTCTGCCCTCTCTTTATTGTGAAATTTGCTGTCAGAATCTTAGAACTCCAAAACCAGTTCTCAGCCCGTGCAAGGTCAATTTTTATTCATGTAAGTATTTATGTTGAACATTGAGCATGAGACAGTGAGACTAAGCATTCCATTTTTAGTTATAGAATATTAACTTTCATTGGTATAATTACTGCACTAGGATTACTATATGTAGCTTTCCTTTAATATTGGTGCGGCCAAGTGTAGCAGCAGCAGCACGTTCTTTGGCTGTGTCCGCGGATGGAAATAGCTGACTCTAATATTACCAAAGTTGACATGAATTTTCTTTTCTTTTTTTTTTTTTTGCGAGTTTTTTAAGGATTTTTTTTAGTGCACGTACGAAATTTTTTTTACTGTTATAAATTTATTAAGGTTGATGATTGGATGAATATGAAAGCATTGATTGTTGAACATAATTGAAAGGGTTATGTACTGAAAATAATTAAAAATAATATGATTGAAGGGTTAGTGTATATTATAAGGTTTTGACAAGGCTCTAATACATTTTATAGGAGTTTTCTTTGACTATTGTCTTTGAACTGTCTTGGTCCATTTGGGTTTGTTCCCAGCAAAAGAATAAATGATTTACATTATGAAAAATTAAAAATTTTTATTATTTTCTTTGTTTGGTAGAAAAATATAGAAAAAATAAAGAAAACTGAATAAATTTGTATTTTTCTCTTCTTTCACATTCAATCTTTCAAAATGTGGAAAGAAAACATTCATTTAATTTAAATTAACAATTTTATTTATAATTTTACTCTTAACTTTTTTTTCCTTTTATTTTCATCCTTCGCGAAGAAAGAAAAAAGTTGTTCGTTTCTCACTTTTTTTTTCTTTCCTTTCCACCAAACATAAATCTTGATATTACTCGACCTTTATGCCAAATATAAGCTCTAGCTGTTGATGCATGTGTTTTAAATTGAATGAAAAGTAAACTAGAAAGTTACACATGAACACCAACATTAAAGTGTTGAGTAAAGTATCGATTATATATGAAAAACAGGAAAAAATGTGAATTTGCCGTACAAATTAGATTGGATAAAAAAAGATAGCTAATGGCAGTGCTGAATTGTTAAGTACACGAGGAAGATACAGCCGATTCTTAAAGTATTTATTTTGTGTGTATCAAACAGATGGTATTAATTACAAACTTCAAATTAGCCGATTCTTCTCACTGTATATGAATCTGAGTTGATCATCATCTGGAAGCTAGGCCATGAACTCTGGAATGCATTAAATCTGTTAGTGTGATGTTATTTTATATTTAATGAATATATAATATCTTGTAATTTTATATTTAGGTTGGATTTCTTCATTTATTGTCAATCGGTAATAAATTGAATGCTTAAAATGATATTAGAGTTAGAAGTTTTTTTTTTGCATTTGTGTTTTTCAAATTTGTCACGTTCAAATTGATTTTAGGTTGAATACTTAACATGGTATCAAAGTCAAGATTTATTTCTGTTGCTCTTTTTTTGTTGCCATTTTCAAATTTGTCACTTAGTTTTCTTCATTCTGTTGCCTTTTCTAAATTTGTCACGAAATCTTTTTTCCATCTCTAGCTACAAGTTACAGGGCATGTTAAAATGGATTATTATATATTTAATAAAATTTTAATATATTATAATTTTATATTCAGATTGAACTCCTTCATTTAAAACTAATTGATAACAGAGTCAAAACTTTCTTTCTGTTGCCTTTCCAAATTTGCTTAAACCAATTAGTATCCGTTGCCTTTTTCAAATTTATCACATAATAGGCTTACTCTATCTTCATTTATACATGATAGGAGCTTGTTAAAATAGATTATCTTATATATAATAAATATATAATTTATAATTTTATATTCAGATTTAATATTTTAATTTATTATCAATTAATTTTAAGTTAAATGCTTAATAAAATCAAATTAATTATTTCGATGTAAAAAAGAATTATCAATTTTACCTTAAAAAGCATGCATATAATCCATCTTGTTGGAGTCAAATATGGTTGGTTTTCGTTTCTTCCCCTTGATTTTACTCTCTCGATTAACTCATCCGCTGTTATGTGCATGATAAGTGATTCCATTATGGTTACTGCTATTATTATGTTGATCATCATCAGATTTCATGGCTGTAAACTGTTGATCCAAATGCAGACATCTTTTCCGTGCCAGAAAATAGATTTTGAAACCGACATTAATAATTCCTTCCATGTTTCTTGTAAGATATGAGCAACTTTATGTTTCTCCATTTTTGCCAACAAAAACAGACAAAAAATGCAGCTAATTATTCACCGCTGCTTAATCACAGGAGAGCTTCTGTCTATTCAACAGTGTCTCAAAGGTTGGGTAAAAGAAATCATGACATACAAAATTTCTCCCTTACTTTTTTTTTTCATTTATTTGTTTGAAAACCTAATTTCCATGAAAAGAAAGGGTCCTAGCTACTCAGTCTAAAAACAGTTACCAGAAGAAAATTGTCATACAGTGACATCTCTCAAATTTGACGTGATTCAGTGATTCAATCAGGGAAGACAGAACTTTTATTATCGCCTTCAAAAGGCCATGTACATACTTTAGAGAAATCAAGTAAAAGAAAATGTTGTGATGAACCCTAGTTTTTTTTAACAGTGGTAACTCTAACCCTAGTTTTTTTAACAGTGGTAACTCTAACCTACCCTATGTTGCTGCTACAGCAAGAGTGAGATCATTTCTTACTCCATTGTTGCCTTTTGCTATAGTAAATTTGGGTACTTGCTCTTAAGTATGTACATACTACCCAAATAGTTGCTTTGTTTGCTATAGTAAATTTGGGTACATGCGCTTAAGTATGTACCTACTACCCCAATAGTTGTTTTGTTTGCTTGATTCAGTGAGAGGGGCTTGCATTTGTTTCGATTAGCGGCCGTAGGGCTTTGAGTACCCTAATCTAATGACGCACTCACCTGCGCATTCCTTGTTTTGCTTGTCACTTCTTCCCTTTAATTTTGTAGCAAACAGATCCACCAATATTAGTCCATTATTGCACTCATTCTGTTCATTCAGGCTCCGCTCCAGCAGCCAGCAGGTTGGGGTTTCTGTGAAATTTAAGCCATCTCATCTCGTATCATATCTCCACCAAATCTTGTTAATGCAAACTACTACTGTTGTCTTCCTTTGTATTCCCCTCAAAGCTCTTCAATAAAATCACCCTATACCCATATTAATTGATGGTCTTTTATGGCAGACGGTAAACCACAACTCTGTAACCGCTGGTTTGTTGTCCAACCCAATGGTTGTGTTTGTGTCCCTATTCCCTCCTTTGATGCTGGAGGTCTTCTGACCTATTGTTCAGATTTCAGAATCCTGGCATTTCGGCTTTGCCGAAAGAAAAAACCCCCCACACCTTTATACTATTGAGCTTTAAGTACATATAATCTTCATTGATGATTAAGGCTTAATTCCATTTTCACTGCTAATTATTTATTTGGACGATTCATAAGTTTAATATAAAATTTTATTAAGGCTTATAGCATAAACAGCCTTTAAAATGGAGTAATCTTCTTTCATTTAATTTTTTTTTGTACAAAAAAAGTATTAATGGAGGTTTCTTCATGCAATATCTCAGTGAAATATAAATTGATATTAAATTGTACAATATAAAAAATGAATTAGATTTTCAATAAGGTTGTAATAATTTACAAAGTAGTATGATTTATTTTTTTACCAAAAGAACCTAATTAAAAAATAATCAGATAGACAAAAAGTTGGTTTCAATCAATTATTCATAGAAAATTATAATTTCAAGGGAAATAAAATTATATTCCCTCCATCTCATTTGTATGTCACTCTTTGACTTTGACAAAATTTAAAAAAAATTATTTTAGTGTACTTTATATTAAAATTTTAATTTAAATTGATGTTTTATGATTTTTAATGCTGAAAATTAAAAATTATGAAAAACAAATTCGAAATATAAAAAATAAAAGCTTAAAAAAACAAAACAAAATAAAACGGAATAGTTTATTTGTGAATTACGGACCGTTATGCCTGTAGGCCCAATCACAATGGGCTATCGCCTATCAGGTTAATAATGATCGTTTGAGAATGATGGGCTATCTAGTCCACCATCCGCTCCAACGGCCCGAACCTTAGAATCTACAAAAGGCCTAAATCCAAGCCCATGAAAGGCCACATCAATTATGGCGCGAAAATCATCTACCACTTCCCGCCAAATAAGATCCCCTTTCTCCTAGCATACCAGCAGGCAGTACCGTTCTCTCTCTATTCAGTTCCAAATTAATCTCCATCGCTTTTTGTCTCTCTTCTTCTCTAGCCATGGCTTCCGATTCCTCTCCCGCCAATTTCAATAACGGTAACTTTCTCTCTTTAAAACCTTGATTTCTTTTTCTTTTTAATATTTAAAGTACAATTTACAGGGTTTTATTTTTAAATCTAAATTTTTGCAGGTCCTTCCTCTCCGGGTGATTCCTTCTCCACCCCCATCGCAAACTCCTCCTCCCCTGCCCACCGTCGCAGGCGTGGCCGTCGCCAAGCCTCCATTCCTTCCTCTGCCGCGGCAACTCCATCTCCAAATCCCTCTCGCTTCGCGAATTCGTCATCTACCCCAACCCCATCCCGTTCCACCAGGCGTGGTCGCCGCCCTGCCACATCCCCGACCCCCGCAGCCGCCGCTACCCCATCTTCCACCGACGATTTCCCACCACCATCATCCGATGGTGGCGATGACATGGAGGAGGCAACCCCTACCTTCGTTTGGGGTACCAATATTAGCGTCCAAGACGTCAAAAATGCCATCCAAATGTTCATCAAGCATTTCAGAGAAACCCACGAATTACGCAATGATGTCTATGGAGAAGGAAAGTATATGAGATTGATACACCGAGTGCTTGAAATAGAGGGAGAGTGGATTGACGTCGATGCTCATGATGTTTTTAATTATGACTCTGATTTGTATAATAAAATGGTGAGGTATCCCCTCGAGGTTTTAGCCATTTTCGATATCGTTTTGATGGACATCGTTAGTTTGATTAACCCTTTGTTTGATAAACACGTTCAAGTTCGGATTCATAATCTGAAGAGCTCTACTTCCATGAGAAATCTCAACCCATCTGGTCAGTTTGCTTTCATTTTCCTTATATTATTTGTGTGTGTGTGTGTGTGTGTATTTATTGGATTGATTTTGGGTTTGCTTGTTTGGTTTAGATATTGAGAAGATGGTGTCGTTGAAGGGGATGGTTATTCGATGTAGTTCGATAATTCCTGAGATTAGGGAAGCAGTGTTCAGATGTATTGTTTGTGGGTACCATTCTGATCCTGTTGTTGTGGATAGAGGTAATTCTTCTTGTGATGTTCTTTTTAAGATTTAGTTTTTGGAGTAATGCTGCTAATCGATTTATTTGTTGGTTTTGGTACTATAAGGACGAATAACTGAGCCTACCACATGCTCGAACCAAGAGTGCCTTGCCAAGAACTCCATGACTTTGGTTCACAATCGGTGCAGGTAACTACCTGTTTAAATTTCATTCTGTTTAGCGAATGTCAATGTAATAAGTGAACTTGCATTGGTGTTAGGAACTTCTTAATTTTTAATTCCTTGTTACTGCAAAATATCTTCTCATTTTATATGTCATTTGTAGGTTTGGAGGTTGTTTATACATTATTGAGTTCATTTTAACTTGAACCTGTTTATAAGTAGGTTTGGTGACTTTAAATCAAAGATTTGCATTTGAGTTACTATGAGACCAAAATTAATTGGTTCTATTTTCCAAACATCAGGTTTGCTGATAAGCAGATTGTGAGGCTTCAGGAGACACCAGATGAGATCCCTGAAGGAGGGACACCTCACACAGTGAGCTTATTGATGCATGATAAGCTGGTGGATGCTGGAAAACCTGGCGACAGGGTTGAGGTTGGACCCTGATGAAATAATGTTATAATGTTATGTAATCACAAGTAGTATTCTGGCACTTTTATTTGTTTGCTCATGTTCTTTGTATTGCAATAGATCACTGGGATTTACAGGGCTATGAGTGTCAGAGTTGGGCCAACACAAAGAACTGTGAAATCATTGTTCAAGGTATGTGTTCTATTATTCATGTGTTAGGTTTGTAGCTCTCCAAGTATTTCAATATAATTTTGTTTTGATTTTCCTTTGCTCGAAGACATACATTGATTGTCTTCATATAGAGAAAACTGATAAGTCAAGAATGATGTCTGAGGATCCTATGGAAGTTGATAAGGGCTCACAAAGGGTTGAGGATGATGTCCAGTTTGATGAAGACAAGGTCTAATATATTTCCTATCCTTCTCTTCCAAAATTCAGTTATATTGGCTATTTGTATCATGTCCTTTTTTTGAAATTTTAGGTGGAAGAGTTAAAAGAGTTATCCAAACAACCAGATATATATGAAAGATTGACAAGGTCATTGGCACCAAACATCTGGGAGCTGGATGATATAAAGAAAGGTCTTCTTTGCCAGGTACTGTATGATCCACTATCTGCCTTGTTTGCCATTCATTTTTGCTGGGGAAGTAATAGCTAGTTATTTGCCATCAACATAGCTTTTTGGCGGGAATGCTTTGAAGTTGCCATCTGGTGCCAGCTTCCGCGGTGACATCAATATCCTTCTAGTTGGTGATCCTGGAACCAGCAAGTCCCAGCTACTCCAGTACATACACAAGCTTGCTCCGCGTGGCATTTACACCAGTGGAAGGGGTAGCTCTGCTGTTGGCTTGACTGCTTATGTCACCAAGGATCCTGAAACAGGGGAAACTGTATGATATGCTTTCCTTACTCTTTCTTATCTGGGTATTAATTGGAATGTCAGAATTTGGTGGTTGGTTTTCATATATGATTTAACTCTCAGGTTTTGGAAAGTGGAGCCCTTGTTCTGAGTGACAGAGGCATCTGCTGTATTGATGAATTTGACAAAATGTCTGATAACGCACGGAGCATGCTGCATGAGGTTGGTTATGCTTTGCCTTTCTTATTCCCTGTTAAGACATGATTTGTGCTCTGCTCCAAAGTTGAAGATGAGAAAATTGTAGGTGCTAACAAATGCTTGAGATTCCTCCCAGGTTTTGGGAGTTCAAGATATTAGGATATCTTCATGAATAGGTTGCTTCATGTTTTTCTTCTTCTTTTGGGAGAAAGAAGTTATTTCACAAGAATAGGATGCCGAATATTTAAACCAGGACTTAAAATGCTTTCCATAGTTTAACCATTCATCATTTTCTTCTTGTACGTGCTATGAAAGTTGACAACTTTCCTCGACTCTACTTAAATTTTACAGGTAATGGAACAACAAACTGTTTCAATAGCGAAGGCTGGTATAATTGCATCTCTTAATGCAAGGACTTCAGTCTTGGCTTGTGCAAATCCTAGTGGTTCACGCTATAATCCACGATTGTCTGTGATTGACAACATACACCTGCCTCCAACCTTGTTGTCCAGGTAAGAAAATACATACCAGCTACTAAGTGCCTTGCAGCTTGAAGTTTGAGCTGGTTTCAAGGTCTGTGATACTACCATAAAATTATTACCTTGCCTGTGTTTTTTTATTCGAACGCTTAAAGTGATATATCAAATTTCAAATATTGTTGGAGGTGTTATTTCCATAGTCTTTGTGATTCTATTCATTATATCATGTTTGTCAGTTATAGCTATTATGAATTGGCACTGTAATAGAATTAGGTATGATGTTGCTTGAAAAGTACATTTGTAACTACAATTCCTTCCTAATTGGTATTAGTTTCCCAGATTTGATTTAATCTACTTGGTTCTCGACAAGGCTGATGAACAGACAGATAGGCGCCTAGCTAAGCATATTGTTTCTTTACATTTTGAGGACACACAGGTTTGGTGAACTCTTATGTTGTATCATGTTTAGGAACTTCTTTCCTTGGTTTGTCAATGTAATTCCTTGCCTCTACGTGCAGATTGCTGAGCAGGATGTCTTAGATCTTGCTACCTTAACAGCATATGTGAGCTATGCCCGCAAGAATATTCACCCACAATTGTCTGATGAAGCTGCTGAAGAGTTAACCCGAGGATATGTTGAGATGAGGAAAAGAGGTAATTTTCCTGGCAGTAGTAAAAAGGTATGGTGTATTTAGTTTTCCTCTCCCGTGTTCTTTTCGTCATTATTGACCTTTCTGTGTAATCATTGAATGGTAGATAGATGCAACCCTGTATTGCTATCGAAATCTTGAATTCTGGGTCTAGTATGATCTAGACATACCTGCTCGTTAACTTGTTTTTCCCCTCCTTTTTCCACGTTTCATAATGTCAACAGGTTATCACTGCAACACCAAGGCAAATTGAGAGTCTGATACGCCTTAGTGAAGCCTTAGCTCGTATTCGCTTCTCTGAATGGGTTAGGTTACGTTTATCTTAGCAGCTTATAATCTTTTCATTGTGTAACAGAACAATGAAATTCCATTCTGATATTTGTAGGTTGAAATGAGAGATGTAACTGAGGCATTCCGGCTTTTGGAAGTTGCTATGCAGCAATCAGCAACTGACCACTCCACTGGTAATATTCCAGCTACTGTTTTGCTCCTTTATTCTGTATTCATGTTTTCCCCACAAGAACAATATCTAATGGATGCTTCCATTACTTCGCTTTGTGTCCTTTCTTTGTGAAGGAACTATTGATATGGATCTTATCACCACTGGAGTTTCTGCGAGTGAAAGGATGAGGAGGGAGAATGTGTTAGCGGCAACTCGCAACATAATAATGGAGAAGATACAGCTTGGGGGACCATCAGTACGATTGTTAGAGGTAAGCTGGTTTAGTAGATTTAAAGTTGGATGCTTTCATTTAGTCCCTGAAATCAATTAACTGATCAATGTGCTTGATTAATCCTACAGTTACTGGATGAACTGAAGAAACAGAGCTCTGGCAGTGAAATTCACCTTCATGATGTGAGTATCCAGCCTCTTTCTTCCTTGCATTCCCCAGTAAAAGGAAAATATGATCAAACCGATAATGAATACACCTTTTTTATTTCTTTTTTGGTCAATTCAGCTAAGAAATGCAGTTGCAACTCTAGCCAGTGAGGGATTTGTTGTTCTTCAAGGTGACAGCGTGAAGAGAATATGAAGATGAGGAGCTAGGATTGGAGGAAAACTGGAAATTATTGATTGAAATAGCCAGCTAGCGTGTTTGTTGAGACTGCTGCCTTGCGAGGTAGTTACCCCAGCAAAGCATTTAGTCGGGGTATCTTTCCGCCTGTGGTTTTTTTACATTGATGCTCGTAGAAGGTTTTGAAAGAAGATAAATTGGGTGTTAGGTATGTCATTAAGCAGTAGACCGTGACATGTATCATATTCTTAACTAATGCTAGTAACTCAGAGCTTATGCTTTCATGTCTTTTTTTCCTATGATGGCGTTAATGTCGTATTCTTTGAATTAAACGATAAATTTTAATGGCGAAATCTGAGCCAATTGTATCTAGTTTTTCTTATTCTTTGGGTACATCCAACAGTATATATATGGTTGATGGTTAATGTTTAAAGGAAATTAATAAAATAAAAATTTTTAGGTGAAATTTGTAAAATGTTAGTGTGAAATTTTTTATTAAAAATAATTTAATAAAAATTTAAATCAATAGGATAATAAATTTCAATAAAAAAATTATATGTAAAAAAATATTATTAAAAATTTTATTTGTAATTAAATTTAATAAAAATTTTGTTAAAATTTTTATTAAAAATGTTTAATTAAAAATTGATTAACATTTATTAATTTTTTTTTCAAAATTTACATATTTAATTTATATTATAAAAATTGAATTTATTAATTTTAATTTTTAATCAATTTTAACAACAAATTTTACAAATTTTATCTAACACGCTTCACATAAATCCTTTTCTATTTTAAGCAGGCTAGAAATGTAACAGTCCAAGGTAAACGATTGAGGCTTCGAATGAATGACTAAACAGTCCAAGAGAAACTGAGCAAGTGAAGTGATGAACCTAACCGAATCCAGGATTTAGGTTGAACCGAGCAAACGACTGCTGTCGATTGTTTGATGAATATGGTTTGATAATAGATTTCATAATTTGTATATTAATATTGTATTTTTTATATAAAATATAAAATGTTATAATTTATGACATTAAATATAATTTTTTTATTTTTTAAAATTTATATATGATTTTATTAAAATTTAAGTTATATTATTTTTATTTTTTTATTATATTATCATGCTATATTTAAAATATGTTAGCACTGTTTTGGTCATTGAATTATTACCAAAAGCGTTATTGGTCGTTAGTACTTTTTATACGCTGCGGGTAATTGCGGGCCGTGGTAAAATTCATTCACGGACCAATTGCGTTGTTTCGTCGTTCCTGTTCATTTTCCAATTTCTGACCCATAAGCTTCAACTATGTTGGTTTCGAGGAGGCCACCAAAGGGTCCAAACTCCGGTGCCTATACTATAGCATGGGCTTTGTAACGTAATGGTTTGATTACGCATTGAATGGTTCATGGCTCATGGCCCAAACTACCTTTATAATACTATTCCAAAAAATCCCAAGCAATAGGTAACTCGAACGGCCAAAAAAAAGGCTTACGTAGAAGCTTGTGGCAGTAAGAAAGTAGAAGACGAAATCTTTACAAGCCTCCTCCAGTTTCCTTCTCGGTTTCTGCGTTTTTGTTTTCTACTACGCGCTCATTAATTGAACTCAAAAAACAAAAGCCCAAGATCGATATCTGTGTGCTTTCTTGTGATCGAAATTAACATAATCGAACAGTCGAGACTCAATGGGAGACGTCCGTGGAGGATGCTGTCCACCGATGGATCTGTTCCGTTCAGAGCCGATGCAATTGGTCCAGCTTATCATTCCTATGGAGTCCGCTCACCTCACCGTCTCTTATCTCGGCGACCTCGGCCTCCTGCAATTCAAAGACGTCCGTGCACTGTCTTTTACTTGTGAACACTTCTTAATGCTCAATTCTATTGAAATTATCCACTCTTGCTTTCTTCTACTTCAGAATTAAACTGGAATTTCGGTGCTTGATTCTTAATCGTAGTTTGTAAAAACCCTAGACTTTAACTGTGTGCGGAGAATTCTTTCTAGTAGAGATCGGTTTTTCGATTTTGATTATTATTATTATTACAATTTTTTTTATGATTGCTATGCTAGGGTTTTAGTTTTATCCATCAATTTCATTGTTTTTTACTTTTGTTTTTGGATTTCATGAAAACCTAGTTTTTTATTTTTAAATTTCTTTGTGATTTGATGGGTCAATTGGTGGGGATTTAAGACTGATGTTTCCCATTTGTGTGATGTCTTACAGCTGAATTCGGAGAAGAGTCCATTTCAGCGAACTTATGCTGCTCAGGTATTTTCTTTTTGCTTTTTTAATAGTGATTGATACATTCACATTTAACATTTTCTGAAATTCCTATTTGTGTGATCTTTCCTTTTCTTCTTCTTCTACTTTAAAGAACTATAGGCTCGGAAATTATATACTCGTGAAATTTAAATTCTTGAATGGCTGAAAATAGAACTTTCACTGCCTGAAAAATGTTGGTGATAAATAATACTACATTAGTTACTTAACCCAAAGGTCGGTTTCTGATTCTTTACGTGCAATTTGTAGAACATGCTGGTATTTAAGCAAATACTAGAAGAGTTTAACTGTCTTCATAGGATTTCAAAAGATGAATGTTTGTTTGAAACAGCTAACCCTACAACCTTTTGATCGAAGCAGAAGTACCATGCTTATTCGTATGAGCTATGCGAACTATTTTTATGATGTTATATTTTGTTGCCATAACATGCTATTATAAATTTACAAACTTTGGTTTATCATCATTGTTTGTTAACATTGCTTTCTCATGAAGATTAAAAAATGTGGAGAGATGGCACGCAAGTTGCGTTTTTTCAAGGAGCAAATGCTAAAAGCTGGCTTCTCCTCTTCAACAAAATTTGTGGCAGGAGCTGACATTGATGTGGATGACCTAGAGGTACATCATCTATTGCCAAGAAAACACTTTTTTAATTTTATTCTTGAATTCAAATTTTTTTCTTTGTTATGTGCTAGGTAAAACTTGGAGATTTTGAGGCGGAGCTGATTGAAATGAATGCAAATGGTGAAAAATTGCAACGTAGTTATAATGAGCTGGCTGAGTATAAGCTTGTTTGGCAAAAGGTATGGCTTTGTTTGCTGCCCTAATCTGGTGACATTTGCCTTGGTTCTGTTCCTAGTTCCTACTGATATTTTTACATCATGAGAAACAGTAACATAAATATAGCTGTTAAAGTTGCTAATTTTTGCAATAAAAGGCTATACATGTTTGGAAGAATTAAACATTTCGCGGTCGAGAGTTGAGACAAGGGGCTATTAATTGGATAGAGTCTATAGACGCTGTTATTTCATATTCAATCAGATAATTAATTCAATACCAGAGTTTGTACATATCATGTCCTTGTTTTTATAAAACACTCTTAATGGAGTTCAATTCAAACGTTAACTTGCTCTCATTTGTACCTCAAGTATTTTTTAATATTTGTCACTCTATGATCAGGTGGATATCTTTTTTTCAAAGTTTCATTTCCTTCCTGCATTTAATGCTTTATAATAATTGCATAAAATGCTAACTTGCTTTTCTGTTTAGGCTGGTGAGTTTTTTGCTTCTGCTCAACACAGTGCTACAGCTCAGCAGAGAGAAATGGAATCATGTCAAATGGGTGAAGAATCCATAGAAACTCCTTTATTACAGGAGCAAGTATAGCACCATCTTTCTTTCAGTATGTTGTACTATCCAGCTAATCATCTCATACCTTCACTCATAAAATCTCCTCACTGTTTTGTAGGAAACCTCAATAGATTTGTCGAAGCAAGTGAAGCTGGGGTTTGTTACTGGCCTTGTTCCTAGGGAAATATCTATGGCCTTTGAGAGGATTTTATTTCGTGCAACTAGGGGTAATGTGTTCCTCAAGCAGGTTCCTGTGGAGGAGCCCATCACTGATCCTGTTTCTGGAGAGAAGGTGATAATTGTTTTTGCGGTTTTGTTCAAATAGTTTAAATATTTGAGAAAGAAGAGAATAAGGAACATAATTTAACCATGGCATGCACGATATATATGAAGTCATGTTTACTGCACATTATTTGCATAAAAATGTGGATGGATAGGCGCACACATGCATTTGAAAGAATGTATCTTATGTTTTTTATGTTACTCAGACATGGCCAATTCATCGTGAGCTGTGCAGACAATTAATCATTTATTTGAAGACCTAGATTTTATGTTCTGAAAGAGTATCAAACAAAAATTATTGTGCAGACAATGCACCATTTAGTTTAAGACCTTAGATTTTATGCTCCAAAAGAGTGTCAAACAGAGATTATTTTGCATTTGTGCATATGTTCATGGACAATTGAATGTTTGCAAATAGCAAACCTGTTACGGAGCTGGATGTTAAAATTGATCTAGTTTTCTAGTTTATGAGAACAGTACCACTCTTAGTGTAGGATTTACTATGTAATCCGCTCAAGATATGCATATGTATGTTGTTTAGCTGGTGTAGTTTTCTGAATTTTGGACTTATTAAGATAAGATCATTGTCTAATCTTGTACCATCTTTTCTGTTGTCTTTGATTTGCAAATGTCAATGTGCAGATGGAGAAAAATGTATTTGTAGTTTTCTACTCTGGAGAAAGAGCAAGGAACAAAATTCTCAAGATATGTGAAGCTTTTGGAGCTAATCGTTATCCTTTTGCTGAGGATCTAGGCAAACAGGCTTTGATGATTAGCGAGGTATGGATTATTTTTTTTTATTTTAAACTGTCATTTAATGGTTTGGCAGAGTGGTGGTTGGTTGTTCCTTAACACCATATGTTTGTTCCTCTATGACATTCCAGGCCTTCCAATTCTCTATTATGTAGATTATCTGAATATGCCTGTATGCTAGATCTTTTCTTGCACAGACCACTCTCTCCATTTTAATGCTTGATGAGGAAACACCCCTCCTTTCTTTGTGGTCTTGTTCCAATTATTTCCTTGCGTCAATAAAACTTGAGTCTTTCTGCAATATATTTGTGATTGTTGTGAATTTTTTTTACCTGATTGATCTCTATGATCGCTATAAATTTCAGGTTTCAGGAAGAATTTCAGAGCTGAAAACTACCATAGATGCCGGATTGCTTCACCGGGACAATTTGTTGCGAACTATTGGAGACCAGTTTGAGCAATGGAACCTTAAGGTCTGCGGATGATCTTTTTTCAATTTTTCATAGATTATGTAACATGTGCTTATAATTTCCTCTTGCACGTGAGATGCATTGAGATGCTAATTCACTGTTGCAGTCATTAACTGATATTCTGGATCATTTGGATTAAGTTCAGTGAGTAAACTATATTATCTTTAACTCCTGAAGGTTAAGAAGGAGAAATCAATCTATCACACTCTGAATATGCTTAGCCTTGATGTAACAAAGAAATGTCTTGTGGCTGAGGGATGGAGCCCAGTTTTTGCCACAAAACAGGTATTAGTTTTCTGCCCCTTGTGCTTTACATGTCAACAGATGTTCCTTTTGCCCTTGCTTGAAAATTTTAATTGGTGTCATACTGATATTTCTTGGATTATGGTTGGCTTCTATGATCTAATAAAGATTTTTTTTAATAGTATTCTATTTATGTATGAGCTTGAGCTATTTTGCCGCAGATTCAGGAGGCATTGCAGCGGGCTGCATTTGACTCCAACTCTCAAGTTGGAGCCATTTTCCAGGTCTTGCATACAAGAGACTCACCACCTACCTACTTCCGCACAAATAAATTTACTTCTGCTTTTCAGGAAATTGTTGATGCATATGGGTAAGTTCACAATAAGACTGTTTGAACTGATGCTGCTTTTTTTACAAAGAAAAAGAAAACCAGATATCCATCAAAAGTGATATCCATGTGTGCTGAGTTTGTGTGCGTATGTCTGTATACTAATTGATATAGTATCTAATTTATAACATGCGCATACTTTTTAGGCATTTTGTGCTTATTGATGTGGCTTTTTAATTGTCTACTTATTTAGACCATGCATGTCCAAGTTAAATATGAGTATTGACCTCCTTCAGATTAGGGAATTGGGAGCAGACATTCTATCTGTTGCTTTCCACTGTAATTCAATGCAATGATTTTATGGAAAGGGTAAGATCTACAATACAACCTGTTGATATTAAGGAGATATTAGTAATGGCTTGATTGATAAATATTTTCTACCAAGCATCATGGGTTCAGCAAAATAGAGAATTATGGTATAAGTGCCCTTCCTAATTCATTCATAAAGATCCTGAAAAGTTGTTTAAGGTTACTAATGAATTCAAAGAAGAGATTGTTCGGTATTCATTTTTGTGTTAATTAACCTATATTTGTACATTTTTTATTCTTATCGTCTATTCAGTTTTTATTTCCTAATGGTAAATTAACTTTATCATTAGGTTCCTTTCAAATGTTTGGTTTGGGAGTATGTGTTTTGTCTGTATCTTTTGCATATGTTCATGTGTTAATTTGCCCCTAAAAAACAGAAATATAACACTTTTTATTGCATTTAATTGCAGGGTGGCAAAGTATCAAGAAGCAAATCCTGGTGTATACACTATTATTACATTCCCTTTCCTTTTTGCTGTTATGTTTGGTGATTGGGGCCATGGAATATGCTTGTTACTTGTAACATTATATTTTATTGTCCGGGAAAAGAAACTGTCCAGTCAGGTAATCTCTTGTGATGGTATAATCAACTTTTGAATTTATACAACCTTACAGCTTATATGCTGGTGAAAACAATTTGAGGGCATATTCATTCCTGCATTGGGTTTCTTCTTTTTTTTTTTTTTTGGTTGTCTTTAAGTTATATACAGAAAAAAGCTATTTTCATTTTTACCTCTAAGGTTAATGATTACCTGGAAAACATATCTATTTGTCCCATTTAATTTGGACAAAATGATTTCCAAGTTTAATCTTCTTCTGTGAGGCTTATTTAATGTTTTATTTTCTGTTAAGAGTTCCTTATATTAGCTTCCTTTTCACTGGCTGTGTAATTGCTACTTCTTTGTGGGTCTCATAAATGATTGAACTGCCGAAGGAATAAGATTCAGTGATTTTTAGTTGGCTAGCAAAGTTGCTAACAATCTCTTAAATATTTCATATTATTTTTGCTAACATGGTAAATAGACGTGACATGGGATTATATTCCAAAGACATGTTTACCTTATCTTGTTATCAGCAAAGATTGGTAGGGGTCACATTGAGGTGTACTATGAACAATATCATGTAATGGATTTTTTGTGGTAAAATGACCTTCCGATGTCTGGGCTTTTGGTTTGATGGGTTACTTTCCGAAATAGGAGTACCTGTTAGTTTTCCCTGTTTGTAGTCGTTGTCTTTATTGGTCTATTGTGTCTATGGATGGAACCTAAGTAAATTATAATTCTTGGAAACTGCAGAAGCTTGGGGATATAACGGAAATGACCTTTGGTGGTCGTTACGTTATTATGATGATGTCACTCTTCTCAATTTTTACTGGTTTGGTCTATAACGAGTTCTTCTCTGTGCCCTTTGAATTATTTGGTCGTTCAGCTTATGCTTGCCGTGATCTCTCTTGCCGGTATTTCACTTACACTTGTGGATCATACAATCGTTGTATAAGCCCTTTGTGACAGCTTTTTTACTGCCTTTTTTGTAGGGATGCTACTACTGTTGGTTTGATTAAGGTGCGTGACACTTACCCATTTGGGGTGGATCCTGCATGGCATGGTAGCCGTAGTGAGCTGCCATTCCTGAACTCTCTGAAGATGAAAATGTCAATCCTTCTTGGGGTGGCTCAGATGAACCTTGGAATTATTTTGAGTTACTCTAATGCAACATTCTTTGGTAATGGTCTGAACATTTGGTAAGTTTGATATGCCAATCAAGATCTTAGCTCACTCTGTTATTCCGGAGTTTTTAACGTGACTGCTAACTGAAAAGTTGCCTTTGCTTGTGTGTTGCTCAGGTTTCAATTTATTCCCCAGATGATATTTTTGAACAGCCTCTTTGGCTATCTATCACTCCTTATCATTGTGAAATGGTGTACTGGTTCACAAGCTGATTTGTACCACATAATGATATACATGTTCCTGAGCCCTACTGATGAATTGGGTGAAAATCAGCTTTTTCCTGGCCAAAAAACAGTTCAGGTTATTTCTCTTTCTATTTATTTGGTTATTTTTTAAAATTAATACCATTCATTAGAGGTTTTTACATCCAATTTGATATTCTTGTGCATTTCTTCCAGCTTGTGCTATTATTACTTGCCCTGGTTTCTGTGCCATGGATGCTATTACCAAAGCCATTCCTTCTAAAGAAACAACACGAAAATGTATGTTATATTGCTCTTTCTCATATCTTGCTGAACATATTTTAAGTTTTATTTTCACCCTGTTTCCATCACTTATTATATGTGCCTTTTCTTTAGAGGCATCAAGGCCAATCATACACACCAATTCAAAGCACAGATGAAACTCTTCATTCAGAGGCAAATCATGATTCCCATGGTCATGGTCATGAAGAATTTGAGTTTAGTGAAGTCTTTGTGCATCAACTCATACATACCATAGAGTTTGTGCTTGGTGCAGTTTCAAATACAGCCTCATACCTTCGATTATGGGCCCTCAGGTATGTCTTCAGTAATTGAAATTTATATTTGGAGTCAACTGTGTTTGGTTGAAATAACACTATATCAAAATTTTACTTTTGGTTTGAGTTTAAAAAAGAGCAAAGTCTTTTTGAGCCTCATTTTATGCAGACACAGCCCATGTGATTGTATAAACTTATTGAAAAATCCATGAATACAAGTTTTCCTCTCCCTATTACTAATTATAACAGGCAGAGTGTTCTTTGACACATTTACCTGATCTTCATAGAGAAATTGCTCTGTGCCTTCTAACGTATGTTCCGCAAGATATGCTATAGTCATTTATACATTTCTATATATTTTCTGTGTTATTTTGTATGAATGTTGTCTAATTTTAGTAAAGCCTAACTCAGAAATTGCACCCTGTTTGTTTTCTTTTTGCAGTCTTGCTCATGCAGAGTTGTCAGTTGTGTTCTATGAGAAGGTTCTTCTCCTTGCTTGGGGGTACGTCTTGCACATTATCTATGCTTATATGTTATCAACGAGCATAGCAAAACAAATTTAGGCACTTTATAGCTTATGATATTACTCTTATGACCCCTTCCATTTCTTATTTGTTTTGTTCAATGAGTTCTTTGAGTTCATAGATCTAAAGTCTAAACTTCAGGGGCTTGGGGATATGCGTAATGATGATGTGTTTTTGGCTTCCTACAGGTTTAACAATATAATCATCCTCCTTGTTGGCATCATTGTCTTTATATTTGCAACCGTTGGTGTGTTGCTAGTTATGGAAACCCTTAGTGCTTTCCTACATGCTTTGCGACTTCACTGGGTTGAATTCCAAAATAAATTCTACGAGGGAGATGGTTATAAGTTCTATCCATTTTCATTTGCATTACTCGACGATCAAGATGATTGATCTACTGGATTGAATAAAAATTATGTTGGAGTTGAGTGTGGACATTGAAGAAGTTATGTTGATTTTTTTGTTGTTTTTTTTCATTCGAACATGTGGAGAAGTCGATTTAGATGCACCCCGTACGGGGAATTGAGGAAGCTTTCTACAGCCTCAGCACTGCTTCTTTACCTTCCAATTGGTGGTGGTTTGTTATTGGAAGGAATAAGTGGCCTACTGGTATCTTTGTATGTGGTAGCAGTTATGGAATAATGCTTAATTTAATTTATTTTTCTATTTAAATATTATAAATAAGTAAATAAATATATATATATATATATATATATATATCAAGAACTTACGGTTGTTTTAGTTGCTGTGGTTGTCTAATTCTAATGTGATAATGATGATTACATTCTTCCCTAGATGTGCCATAATTTATAGATTCGACTTGACATAAAAAAGCTGTGTTATAAATGTGTAAATATAGATTTGATAATTAAAGAATTTGCATTTATTTATTTCGTATTTAATTCGTGTGAAATGTAAAAATCAAAGCTCATTTTGATTTTTATCAAATTTATATTTGATTTTTTTTTGTTAAAATTTTAAATTGTATTATTTTCATGTGTACCTATTTTTAGTATCATATCATGATTAATATCATCGGGTCCATAGAGCGGGGATCCAACTGCTATCTTCTGGGCAGATCATGCACTTGTCGAATCAACCAAGTGGCCAGACAACCGTTTATGAAATGTTATATCCATGATCGAGGATAAGATAGCATAACATATTCTTACAGCTTAGTAATGTAAGCCAACTTTTCTAGAAACATAGAATTTAACTCATTTTCGATGATTTAAAGGGGTGTGAACTACGGTGGAACATGAAAAAGGGTAATTAAAAACATTTTAAGTTGTTTTAAACTACAATTTGAAACATGAGAAATTTAAAGCTTATGTTAGCATCCACGTTCCCAAGTAATTGTAACATGAAATATACAAAAAACTGGTGTAATGAACAACTCGTACGCTACTCAGAGTTGGTATTAACAGCAGCAACTGTTGATACCATGGAGTCAACTCCACAAATATTGCGACCCCTGCAGATTTTATAGAATCCATTCTCTCCCCAGTTTTCTCCCCATGAGTTCTTCATGATCCAGTATGGCTTATCCTTCATGCGAACTGGAGCATAGCCAGCTGAACCATACCCCACCAACAATACTCCATGATCAAGTCGCTTTGAGCAAATATAAGGGCATGAAACTCCCCCAATGTATGTCTGCATGAACACTGCATTGATAGCCACTGCATTCAAACAAAGAAACAGATAAGGACAATGAAAACCATTAAAAGCAATAACGTTAGTAGGTAAGAAAAGCAAAATAATAATAAAAAGAAAGATTACTACTAATAAACTTATATCATTTACCCGCAAGAGGACCATTCTTCACAAGATTAGCAGCAATTTGATCCTCATCCAAAGAAACAACACTGAAGTTGGCCACTTTTGCAGCAATCTTGGTCTTGTCAAATTTGCAGGTCCCACGATCAGTGCCAGTGTAGGGGTAGTCCTCCTCACGCATAAGTCCACCAGCTTTGAGGGTATACTCAAAAGCACTATTCATGAGCCCACCATTGCATCCAGAATCACAAGAACCTGCTTCCGCGGGATCACACTGCAAACCAAAGAGTATAAAAATAACCCTTTAACGTTGTAGTTTCTTAATCATTGTATTTAGCAATTAGTATTGCTACAATTACCTCAGAAGCTTTACTACTAATATGAATTATGATAAAACAAAGGAAAAAACAATCATTAACACAAAAAAAATTCGAAATTTTGGATCCAATTGCAACCTTCCAAGGTAAATACATACCCATCGGTATAAACTAAAGATCAAATGAGCATGTAAATGAAGAAAGTTGAAATTTAAATGAATGTAATTAAAATTAGCATTTGCGATCTCAACCCATAAATCCAAAGCATACATACACATTAAGAACATTAAAAAAGAAAGTAAAGGAAATCTAACCTCATGATCACAATCCACGAGCTGTTGCTCGCTGAGGCTCACGAGTTTCCCAGTTGCCAAAAAGTTAGCACCTTCCAAAGCTCCTGTTGTACTAAAAGACCAGCATGATCCACATGAACCCTAACCACCAAAAAATAAAAAATAAAAAAAACTTGACGCAATTCGTTTATTTAAAAAAAAAAAGGCCAATTTTTCAATTTTTTAAAAATAAAAAACCTGATTTTTGACGGGTGTAACGGCGCCTTTTTCTATCCAGTCAAAATCTTCAGGCAAATCATCGGTGGGCAAAATCGGTGCCTCATTCGCATCTTTAGGCAGTCTCAATCTCCTCAATCCCAAATATGTCCTCCTGAACTCGCTCGGAGTCAAATCAGAGAACTGAGTCACTCCATGCGTCGCAGACGGGTCAAGCTTCTGATGACGCGCCGCTCGTCTCAGGTTAGCTTGAAAAACCTTGAACCTATAATCATGCTCCAGCTGCGACCCGTACGATTTCTTGAACCGTTTCTTGAATAGCGAGAAGTGATGCTCTGCGGTCAAGTGCTGTGGCTCGGCTCCATCGTGACCGTCTGTTACCTGCCTGATCAACGGATCAACTTCCAATCCTTCGGCCGAGAAAGTCTCCGTAGAAATCACGCCAACGAAGAAAAAGGAGAAACAAACAAACAGAGAAACAACAATGCGATGATCCATTTTTTTTTCTTTCTTAAATCGAAAGTTGAAAAAAAAAGGGGAAACGAAGGTACGTTTTTTTATAGAAACATCAATGCGGTACTTCCAAATTCAAAACTAACAGTCGTAGGGGTATTTTAGGGATTTTGGAAAGATTGCTTAGGTGTGAGGGAAAGGATAGCCAATGGGGGAAAGATACGTCGTGGAATGGAGTGCTGCTGTTGAATGGTAGTTGCTCTTGAATTTTGAGCTGTTCTTAACCGTTGAAGGAAATTGGATTTCGCGAAATATGGCGAAGAGGTTGGGTTGGTTCGATTTGGATCGGGGAATTTGGGGTTACCTTTTAAACTTTTTTTTAGAGTTGATTATATTTTTATACTTGAATTTTAAAAAATATATAAATTAAATAATAATTTATATATTTTTTAATAAAATTTAAATTCATTAAACAGATGTACAACTCTTTTATTATACAATATCATAAAACTTATATCAAATAAGATTTTTTTTTTTTTATTATGCTCATCACAATAAGACGTATTAATTTTTTAGAGAGTATTAACTCTCAAAAAATTCAGTAATAATTTATCTCTTAAACGTTCATAAAATGAATAATATGCATTTTAAATTTTTAAATAATGAGATTTTGTTATAAAACAAAAAACACTTCTTAAATGCAACTATAATTTTCAAATTATTCAAATAAAATACAAAATCATGTATTGAAAGAATTTTGAAAATTTGGATTTTAATTGGTACAAATGAAAGATGAAGCCTTAAATTTTGGTCTTGTAATATTTTGCCATGAATCTCCTAATTCATTTTGCATCAATAATTAGGTAAGCTTAATGAAATATGTAGACTTATACATATATATACATTTGTCATAGATATTTATGATAGTAATTAGGTAGGTTCATCGTTCAAGAATTGTGGCCACCAAACATTAATAAGCAAATTGTTCATACTATATTGGTCATAATTTTAGGAATAACTTATCCCATGCAAATTATTCATTATCCAAACAACATTCTCTTCATTTTCAAGTTGTCTCCTTTAGCTTTGTGCCGGCTTTTGCATTTGCTTAGGGGCAGGGCCATGGCCGGTGGCTTGAACCATCCATAGTAAGATAATGCGAAATGATGACTACCAAATCCCTAAAAAATTCAAGTATTCCAATTCATATTGTGGTAGGGCCAAGATTTGCTATCGGCTCAAAGGCCCAAGGCGCTCACAGTTTCTGTCCATGCTTCATCTAGGCTGGCCCAATCTTGGCTTATCAGATTAGACCCAAAAGAATGAGGTTAGCACCTCATCCTTTCTCTTTTAGAGACACGTCGTTAGTTCTAAAAGTGCTCTACCTGTTGTTAATTAGGCAACAACTACCATTATTAACATTTGTGGTTTGCAATCATCAACTTTTGGAATACCTTTTTTTTTCCATGCTTTTTCTAAGAGGATTTTATATTATATTACCATGCACTTTAACAAAGAAATGAAAAAGTTTCCAAAGTGCGACCATAATTTGAGTGATAATGGTTTCTCTTGGAGGTTAGATATGAATAACTACAAGGTCAATACATCATTAATGATATTCACATGTGTAGATTCCATTCATAAATTGTGAATGACGATTAAAGTTGTGTTAAAAATTGAATATAAAATTAAATTTAATTAGTTTAATTATTTTTAAGGAAGGCATGTGGATACGTAACCTCAATTCTCTGCGTTTGACCTCTTATAAATTAAAAAAAATATGACCAAAAAAAAGAAAGTTTGACTGCCACATATACATCCGCTAGGATTTGGGAAGCAATCTTAAGCGAAGAAAGAGAGGAAAACCAAGCCGTGAAGCTGTTCCTTTTAGGACGAGTTCAAAGCCGAACCAATGCGAGAAAAGTCAATAAGAAACGAATCTCGATACGCGCACATTCAAAAAAAGTGAGCCTGAAGTGATAGCTCGCTAATCAGGGACCAACGATTTTGGGTCGGTCAACGAAGCGTTCTGGTCCGGTGCTTGCTGCCCTTGCTCTCCTACCTGAAGTGATAGCTCACTAATCAGGGACCAACCATTTTGGATCGGTCAACGAAGCGTTCTGGTCCGGTGCTTGCTGCCCTTGCTCTCCAACCTGCCCTTCTCACATCGTTTGGGCCACTTTTCTTCTCCACATCTCTCGAACGTGTCCTTCACATCCTCCACACAAGCAAACAAGGTATTCGACGGGTTTCAATGTGTTAGGCACGAATCATAAAGGAGAGTAAAAAGCAAGGACAAGATTCTTTCCACAAAGTGATTAAAAAAAAGAGGATATGATTAAAACGCATCTTAGAGCTTACGTGGGGATACAAAAATATCATATTGGAATATAAAATACTATAATCACTACTTTTTTTTTTTTTCTATTTGAAAAAAATCGAGGTATATGTATTTTTTTTAATCAAGGCATCTATAAATTATATATTATTTTTATCAAATAATATTTTTATCAAAATTAAAATGAGACAATATAATAATTACATAATTTTTTTTTTATAAATATTGTCTAACTAACCTTTTTTTAGAGTACATTTTTTATTAACAGTGCAATTAAGAGAATAAATAACAAAAAAATCCTTCAGAAAACAATCATTAAAAAATCTAAAATCTATAATTATCACTAATGTTTTATGTTTTTTTAAAACACTTGAGTAAAAATGTTTTGTTTTAGTGTTAAATTAGCAAAAATCGTATGATGAATAATTACTAATTTAGGAGTGATAATATGTATGAGCTAGTTTATAATTTTTTAACGAAGAAAGAAAATGTATTGTTGGCAGGATAATATTTCACATATGATTTTTTATTATAATTTTATAATTAATTATTTAAAAATTTATCATTTAAAAATTTAAATTCTACATAATTTTTTATGTACTCTTCGCAGTACTAAACTATAAATAATTAATTATATTTTAAGTAAGATGAAACGCTCCCTAGTTGTAGCTGGCTAATTAAATGCTAAAGCTTTTCTAATGTACACTGCCCTATTCTAGAAAAATGGGAAAATTCAATGCATCCATGATCTGAGTTGGTAAATAAAAAAAAGGATGATAACATCACTTTAGTTTAGATTTGATTTGATTTTTTATAATATTATATAATATTATAAAATTTTAAAATTAAAATTAAAATTAAAATTTTATTTGATTTGAATTAAATTTATTAATTTATAATTTATATATATAAATTTAATATATTTAAATAAATTTTGATATAAAATTATTATTTTATAAAAATTTAAAATATTTATAAATTAAAAAATATACATAATTCGATTTGATTAAATTCTTTTATTTAAAATTTGATTCAAATCTAAAATATATATTTAATATATAAACTTGATCAAAACTAAATAAAAAAATTTCAAAATCAAATCAGACACTATTAATTTCAAATCAATTTTCAAATTTTTTCGATTTTTTCTCATTTTTAATTAAACATGTTCACAGCTCACCACAAATCCAAAGGTGGCATGATCATAATATACCTTGAAATCCAATGGTGAGTGATGTAGTGACAACCCGATAGCATGTTGAACAACATTGCAGCAAGGACTACCAGAACCCATCTCAGAAAATAAAATATCAGTTTTACCTTTCTTGGTAACTCCAAAGTCCAAAACAGTATGACAAGTCAAATGCTGTTAGGAAATAATTTTATCAAGTTTTCTTTCCTTAATAGCTTTGAGTGATATGTTATAATTTTTGTAACCCGAATATTCTTGGTATTGTATTCTGTTGCCCATTCTTCGCATTTTTTTTTATTTCGTATAAATAGCATGACTTACAACAGTTTGGCTTTGAAGATAACATTAATGGGTTCTTTTTATTTTTGTATGGCAGCCTTTATTGTTTTAACATTGGTTTTTAATTCAGTAGTGTTCTCTAATGGAGGAAAAACCAGCATCTATGTCAGGAAGATGGAAAAAACTGTTGATATGCCTCTGGAAAGTGATGTCTTTCGAGTCCCTTCTGGTTATAATGCACCTCAACAGGTACTTCCTTGTTTCTCCTTTTTTTTTTTTTTTCTGTTTTTATCAATAATTTTCTTTTGTTATTGCTCTCTGTTGGTCTTGATTGCTATTTCTTGTTCTTGGATAAAGACTAGAAAAAAGAAAAAAAAAGCTTTGGTTATTGCATTTATTCAAATGCATTTTTTTTAAAAGGGTTGTTTGACATTTATCTAAATTTGACTTTATTTGGATGTTTTGTCATGTCCTGAATTTAAGGTTCATATAACACAAGGAGATCATGTCGGAAAAGCTGTGATTGTTTCATGGGTGACCGAGGATGAACCAGGCTCCAGTACGGTGCTTTACTGGAGTGAGAACAGCAAGCATAAGAAAAAGGCAGAGGGCCAATTCACAACCTATAAATTCTACAATTACACCTCTGGTTTCATTCATCACTGCACCATCGGAAATCTGGAGGTAAAATTGAATCCTTTCTAGCTTGTACGATCTAATTGTTTCATAGGAATTGTTGCATTCATAATTTCCCTGTTACAGTTCTGTTTTATGCCTGTAAGACTTTAATCTATACTCTTTCTTCTGGATAAAACTAAAAGTACCGAGCATTATAAATTCTTAACTAGTACTATCAGTGTGACTGTGATACTTGGTTTTCAATTCTGAGTCTCTTTATTTGTTTGTGTACAGCACAACACCAAATACTACTATGTGGTTGGCGTTGGTCATAATATGCGAAAATTCTGGTTTACAACTCCTCCTAAAGTTGGTCCAGACGTTCCATATACATTCGGTCTCATTGGTAAGTGAAAGCTTGCTAACTATTTTGATTTGGTTGATTTACTGCTGTAAATAGTCCACAGTCTCTATAGTTTCTCATAGTTCAAGAGGTTACTGGTTAGAATTTTGAAGTATAATTAAAAAGGAGAGATGACATTCACTAGTACTGCAACATGTATGAAGCTTTGAACTTCGAACTCTATTATTTGATCTTCACGATAATTCTATAATTCTGGGCTTCTCTTGTTTGTGTCGTTGCTGGCTTGCTGCTCTATATTGGGATGTCTTTTCTTTGTACTTTGAGTAAATATGTATTGCTTATGTTTAGATGTTCTGATGTATTGGAATTGGAAATCATTGTGCAGGGGATTTAGGACAGACTTTTGATTCAAATAGCACACTAACTCATTATGAACAAAACCCGAAGAAAGGCCAAACTGTATTGTTTGTTGGGGATCTTTCTTACGCAGATAACTATCCCTATCATGATAATGGAAGATGGGATACATGGGCAAGGTTTGTTGAGAGAAGTGCTGCATATCAACCATGGATATGGACTGCAGGGAATCATGAAATTGACTTTGCCCCTGAAATTGTAAGCATTCATTCTTTTGATGTGATTAACTTCTAAACACCATGATCTTTTCTTGTCTGGAATCCTCCTTTGTAGATTAATCCTCCATTTGGCAGCCAATAATTGTGATTAACTTGTAGAAACTATGAGCTTTTTTCCTATGGAATCCTCCATTTGGCAGCCTATGACTATCCTCCACCTCCTTTGTTTGGTTACCCAATGACAGAAGGGACACGAGTTTTAAGAAAGCAATGGATGCTCTCCCTTCTCTGGGACTAATCTACTCAAAAAAGCAGTGCAGATGCTTTTCTTTGTTTTGATTTTCATCTGTAGCTTTGTCTGATTTATGTCATCTTTATTCTTTACTACTTTGTCCTTGAACCCTCAAATACTGCTGGCAGAGTGAACTGGTAACAACATGATTATGGTTCTGTTTGCAGGGTGAAACAACGCCTTTTAAGCCTTACACTCATCGTTATCATGTTCCTTATCGAGCATCAAAAAGTACAGCTCCCTTATGGTACTCAATAAAGAGAGCTTCGGCTTATATCATAGTCTTGTCTTCATATTCTGCATATGGTAAAGAATATAAATCTTTCGCATAATTGAAGAAGTGAATGGTATAGCATAGATGTTTGCTGGATCCATCTGGTAACTATCTACAATTTTTCCACAGGTAAATACACTCCTCAGAACCAGTGGCTTGAACAGGAGCTGCCAAAAGTTAACAGGAGAGAAACACCATGGTTAATTGTTCTTATGCATTCCCCATGGTACAATAGCTACAACTACCATTACATGGAAGGAGAAACCATGAGAGTAATGTATGAGCCGTGGTTTGTGCGGTACAAAGTTGATGTTGTATTTGCTGGTCATGTCCATGCCTATGAGCGATCTGTAAGCCCTTTGTCCATATTATTTGGTTCTGCAATCTGCAGTGTGCGCGAGTAGCAACTAAATTTGAGTAAAATTACTTCATTCACAGCTTTTAAAGTCTTAAGAGAGCTGTTGATTGCCTGAAATTCTTTTAAAATGATTATCCACCATATCATAGGATGCTCATCGAAAGAGTTTCTTCTGAAGTTACTTGATTACTGATTTATGTATGTATATTACAGGAACGTGTATCCAACATCGCATACAATATCATAAATGGTATGTGCACTCCTGTGAAGGATCAATCTGCACCTGTATACATCACTATTGGTGATGGAGGGAATATTGAAGGCTTAGCAACCAGGTAAAGATTGTTCTTATATTATATTATACATTGCTCTTCTCTCGTGTGGTGGTTTCATGCATGATTGTTTCGGCTTTGATGTCAATGTCGTTTTTTGTAATTGTAGCATGAGCGAGCCACAGCCAGCATATTCTGCTTATCGTGAAGCCAGTTTTGGTCATGCCATTTTTGATATCAAGAACCGTACTCATGCTCATTATAGTTGGCACCGCAACCATGATGGATTTGCCGTTGAAGCTGATTCAATGTGGTTTTTCAACAGATTCTGGCATCCAGTTGATGAGTCTCCAACCTCTCAATGAGGTTAACATGTTCTTTTCCATTTTAAAATTTTTCTTGTAACCTTTTCAAAAAATAAAATACAGAATTACAATCAATAAAATTTGTCTTGTACCCTTTTTAAAATTAAAATACAGAATTACAGTCAGTAGGATGGCGTAGCCGAGTAGTTAGTCCTCCATGTCTGACCTTTGCTGTGGAGAATCTGGAAATGTATGTTTAAAGATAAAGGAAAATAATCTAATGTAACTTTGGTGGTACGGTTCTTGTAATTCCACCAATAGGATTAAAGGGCTGAGTTTGTTTTTACACACTAATAATAAAATTTTTTAATTTAATAAACGACATTAAAAAATATCATATATTTCATTTAATTTTTAGTATTATTACAAGATGGAGTTGATCCGGCTATGTTTGAGTTGTCTAATTAAGTTATATAAATATAATATTTTATTATGATTATAAGTTTTATTATAAATGTAATTTTAAAAAAAATCAATAAATTAATGAGGAATAAAAGAACATGTGGCTACACATTAATTTTGCTCTTTAAATTTAAAAATTCCACGGTCATGCGTGGAAAAATATTACGAATAAATTCCTTTTATTTCCCTTCACCTAAACTATTTTATAAAAAGAAATCCTTTTATTTTTTTTTCAAATATTAAATCTTTAAATTGAAGAGAAAAATAGAGACCTGGGCTGGGCCTCACCTAATTGAAATGAGGGAGATTGGAATTGGACTACCGACATTATAAGGGAAGCCCAAGCCCAACCCTAACTACTTGGTACTATTCCTTTGTCAGCAATTTGAGGCTGTCAGAGACTCAGAACAGAAAGCGCCCGAAAAGAAAAAAGATTCATATTTTTTTTAATTGACTTCGCAAAAAAGTCAAAATATTTTTCATGGACAACGCCAACGCCAACGCCAACGCCGATTATTTCTTTCTTAATTTATAAAAAAAAAATTTGATTTCTTTTAATAATTAATAATGAAATAATTTAAGTAGTCGGTACTTCTTTATGGGGGCGGGTTTGTAAAGGGTAAACCAGTAAAAAACAAAATGTCGTCTTTTCGTCTCAGTTTCATTTGATTTGAGATCCAATTCCAAGTTCCAAATTCCAAAGCCTAGTTTTCAACTTTGAACATCCCAAGAGCCAAAGGTCTTTGGTATTGGTTTCTACATGCAAATTTACATCTACTATTTTTCCCTAACTCAAATCGATCTTGTTCCTGATCAGTGATTATAAGCCGCTTTCTTCGATCCTCGTGGCCCGTTGATTTCCGGTGAACGGTCTCTGATGAAGCGGCCACAGCCGGTCTAATACAATGGCGGAAGATACAATCACGAACAACTGCTCCAAGGAAGGCGGAGCTACCGAAACTGAAAATAACAACAATTGTGTTAACGGCACCGGTAACGGTACCAATAAAATCAATATAGAGAAAGCGAATGTGAAGGATCCGGAAATTTTCAGTTGCTTGCTTCAACCGGCCACTTCCGATTCCGATCTCGATTACGTCGGTATTCGCCGATTTCTTCTCGCTCGCAAAGCCGAGTCCGGTTTTCATTGCCGACTTGTAAGCTATATTTTTATTGTCAATTCGGTTTCGTTTATGTGTACGTTTTAGTTGCGGATCTGTGTTTTGATTGTTTGCGAGCATGATTTTGAGCTAGTTTTAGGGGAATTATGGAGCCAGTTTTAATATTCAATTTATTTGTATTTAAATGGAACCTTTTAACTTCGTTTCATTGTTTTTGGTCTAAAATTTGGCTTAATCTGCTGATTTATTTGAAGGATTGGAGATGTAATGGAAAAGGTTATGTGGCTTATCGAAATTACATTCGTAGGCCAAGAAACTGGGAAAATTTGCAAATACCAAGCCACTCGAGCACTCCTGGAAACAGGTACTAAAATTTATCCGGAACTTTCCTTTTTTTAATATTAATTTATTTGCTTCACGAACTGAGGCTACCAATTGCAGTCACATTTGTTAGATTGAATGTATGGTAGTGGCAAAATTATGTAGAGGCTAGGGCTAAGGATGTTTTATGAACGACCAACTGCTAATTTTGTGAGTGTTGTTTTAAAATTTATGTTTTTATACGATTCTGACATCAGGGTAATTTACTGGTTGATGCATCAGTGGGCGATGGATTTCAACTCCAAGTCCACTCTCGCATTTGTTCGAGTTGGAAAGCTGGAACTCTAGCAAGGTATGTACAAGACTACAAGTTTTAGCATGCGATTTTTTGTTCTCAATCAGTTTGGGGCATGTGGTTATGTTTTTAATTTTCATCATGTATTGCTCCTGAAATCAGAGAGTAGTTCTTTTGATATTTTTCTGATCACTTTTAAAGTTGACTCATTCATCATGTTCTTGATGATGAAAATGAAAGAAAAGAAGATCTTAATTTTCTTATCCATCAAAAAGGAACTTCTTGGATATCAAGAGCTTGAAACTTATTTGTTTTCATGTTGCAGTTCTTATAAGATTTGAACCTTGATTTAAATAGGCCTTTAAAAGAATTGAGGATAGTTGCATACTTTTTCATCCTTTCAGGATTTACGAAGTGGCACACTGGCTTCAAATCATAGAACAAGTTTCAGCTCTAGCATGAGTGATAGTGATCGCCCACGACGTCAAGGAGATGAACCTGCATATTCTTTTGTAGGAATGCACTGCATCTTTGATCAGTGCAAAGCAGCTGGTACCTACCTTTTTTTAAATCTTTAATGCAGTCTAGACCTCTTTCTTCTTTGTCATACTATTTTGCTCGGTGGACTTAAATCTTTCTAAAATGAAGCTATATGTTTGGTCTTATATGCAGTAACTGTTTTGAAGTTTGGGCACATGAGTTCTGATCTACTTGCATATGGGGCATCAGATGGGACTTTAACAGTTTGCACTGTCACTGAGCCACCTTCAGTTATCAAGCAATTAAAAGGGCATTCAAAAGATGTCACAGGTTGGATTAACTGGTATTGTTTTGTAGTCTTTCTTATAACTTAGACTAAAGTATTTGTAGCCATGCTATCTGCTAATTTCTTTCATTTAACGAGATCATGGTCAAGTTCAGGTGTGATTTACTTCGTCCATTCCAGTTTCTTTATTTTCTCTTTGGAGTTTTTGTGGAATTGAACTAGGCCAGAAAGGTAGACACTTATACTCCATATTGTGAAGGTTCTTTCACAGTTTAAGCTGAATCAGTGAGATACTGGAATGTCTTGTGGCTCTGTTTATGAAGGTCAGCATGGTAGAATAAGTAGATTGCGGTTCTGAAGTTCATTTGAGTGAGAGGAAAATATGGTTTGGTAGGAATTTGTTACTAAACAATAAATCAAGTTAGAAGACTTTCAGATCTTAGTTTTCTTAAAAACAATTTGTGACAGTGGGTTCAGAACTGCTTGTCATTTTGTATCTGCTAGGAACCTTTTTTTCATATAGAAGGTGAAAAAAAGTGGTGAAGCATCCATCATTATGGTACCTAAGATGGCACCTAATGGCTTGTTGTGGCAATCATCCACTTAACCTAATCTTTAAACAATTAGTTTTACATATAACCTAATCTTTAAACAATTAGTTTTACATATAACCTAATCTTTAAACAAATAGTTTTACATATAACCTAATCTTTAAACAATTAGTTTTACATATCCCTCTTGATATAAAATGGATGCTAATTTACCTTCTACACATTGTTGATAGTCTCATTAAATTTCTAGATGTCAGTAACTAAGATTTTGTTTTATTTTGATAACTATGATTCTAGAAGATTTGTATCTACTGTTTATTAACTATGTTTCTGATTTGCCACTGCATTATCAGATTTTGACTTCTCATCAAACAATCAATATATTGCATCATCGTCAATGGATAAAACTGTGCGAGTATGGGAGTTATTGAAAGGCCTTTGCATTCGAGTAATATATGGAGTCTCTTCACAAATGTGTATTCGCTTTCATCCTGTAAGTGCATATAAGCATTTATAATTCATCCCTTTCAAGTCATGGAAATTTTTTATGGTTATTTCTTCTGCATTTGCTTGTTATCAATAATCAAGAAACAAATTCTGTTGCAGCCTGTAACCAAGATTGCTTGGTTTATCTGAACTAATTTCATTAAGTGAGGCTGCAATAAAACCATTCCATCTCTCATTTAACTATAATGTATATCTTGAAAAATTTTGCAGATGTAAAGGCTTATGTATGTTCTATTTTAAGTTAATTGGTAACTAAAATGTTTCTTCTCTGTTCTTCATGGCTGCAGGTAAATAACAACTTTCTTTCAGTTGGCAACGCAAATAAAGAGATCACTGTAAGTACTCGTCCATACCTTTGCTTACTCTTATTAAGAATGTTAAAAGACAAGTATAGTTACAACTCCTAACCACAATGTGAAAAATAACTTGTTGATAGTCTCAAGTCAAACTTAATGACCAATTAGTTTGATGGATGTGATATGCTAAATGTTTTTGTCTATAATCATCACTCATCAGACTGTAGATAAGTTACTAAACTTATGGCTTTCTTTGTCACTGTTAAATTGTTTTTTGAATTTAGATGGTTAGCTGATGTATGAAAAGTCCCGCCTGTTTAAAAATCTGTAATAAAATAGCTGGTTGGCTACTTCCATATATTCAAGTATTCATTAACTCCTTACATCAATGCACGCGTGTGTGTGTGTGTGTGTGTGTGTGTGTGTGAATTTTCTCAGTTTTCATATTTGTGTTATCAGAAATTAGGAATCTAAGGTTCTGTCACAAACTGCATACATGTCTCCACTTCAATCAAGCCCATCATTTAATTGATAGCACTTTTTTATGTACACCAGGTCTTCAATTTCAGCACTGGGAGGATTATTACTAAATCAGTCTTTGATGGTGCGGTTACCTCAATGGACCATGACCATGCTGGTCAGCTCATTTTCTGTGGAGATGCACAGGTTTTTCTTTTATGTGTTTATGTCATAATCAGAGTAATTAAAGAAATTTGCTTTAGTTCTTTGGACGGTTTCTAATGGGATAATATTTGCAGGGATGCATTTACTCCATAAGTATGGACTCCCACACAGGTGCATTGTCCCGTTCTCACCGACATAGAAGTAGCAACAAGCAGAAATGTCCGGTTACAACTGTGCAGTACCGAAGTTTCTCTTTGCTTGCCGGGGGCCCTGTGTTGCTGACATGTACTCAAGATGGAAGTCTTTCTTTCTTTAGGTTTGTTCAAACAGCATATTTTCTACTGGTAGTCTTTATTTTGAGTAATTGATAGATGGTATGTTCGCATTGCAGTGTTGCTTTGGAAGTACAAGGTTATCTGACCCTGCGGTGCTCGCTCAAGTTAAGTCCACGAATACACAGCATTCGAGCATCCTTCTGCCCTTTGCTATCCCTTGATAAGGGAGAATATATAGGTTTGTATGCCCAACTTAAATTTCGCTTAAAACATTTGACTCCATTTTCAAATCAACAAGCATCAACTCTTTGATACTTTTGCTATACAAATTTTTCCGAAGAATCCTAAATTCTGCTAACGGGACTATTATAGTTATATATCTTTGCTGACATTGTGATTATTGTGCTGTGAAGTTGCCGGGAGTGAGGATTCAAATGTCTACTTTTATGACTTAACTCGGCCGAGGCATACATGTGTAAATAAGCTGCAGGTTCTACCCTCATGTATACAGTGGATACACATCCAACTTCTTTGCTAATGTAGTGTTAACGCCTCAAATCGTTCGTGTCTGCAGGGTCATCGATTTCCAGTTATAGGAGTAGCTTGGAACCACGGAGAGAACTTGTTGGCTTCATCAGACCTTTATGGCGTTGTTATAGTATGGAAAAGAGCAAAAACAAGCTAAAGCAAACACAATTATACAGGGATAAAAGATTAAAAAAATGCTTTGAAACATATACCTGCATGGGCTGAAGAAGGAAATCAGCTTTTTGTTCAAGTGGTGAACCCTTCGAAGCATGCCGAGTGATAGTATTTCATTCTTCGTTGTCTGCGGTTGATAAGGAAACCATGTGATCATTGTTTCAGTCTCAAATTTTGTATTCATGATTTTTTTTTTTATTTCATTTTCTTTAAAGGCTCAATTGCAACTGCACCTGCAAAATGATATTTGGGTAAGCCTGCCGGAAGAAAAAGGAGATAGATTAGTTGCTAAGTTGTGTTAACTCAGCCATTGCACCAAAATTGTAGAATACATTTGTTATGAATTAATTCCCTTGTCTGTGATTGATTTTAATGTGGGCAAATAGTTTTTCCATTACTTGTCTTAATTACAGCGGCAGTAATGATGGGAAAACAGGAGCTTCTGATTCAAGGGAGGAAAAAAGCATTGTAATTGTTCATTTGGTGGACATGAACAGGCTTCTGACACTGACACTTAGCATAGGATCCTCGCGAAGTGCTCGGTCCTGTCATGTGTAACGTGCAAACTGAGAATAGAATAGAAAAAATCCAAACCAGAACAAGACCAAATGTCAAGGACACTGTCTTGTTGATGTGACTTACACGAGATTCACGTTGTTGTTTGGGTTGATGGCAAATTGGCAAACCATCATTCACCAATACGGCCAAATACACTTCGCTTTCGTCATCTCGTCGTATGTGCAATGTGGTCACTTGTCAGAATTCGTATCTGTTTCGTTGGAATCAGTCTTCAATCTAGTTCCAATAAATACAAGGAATTACACAAGTTACGGATTTGTTTTTGTCTTGTTGGTTAGGATTCTTGGCTCCCAGCCTCCACCACAGAGACCCGGGTTCAAGTTCCGGCGACGGAAAAGTTTTTTCTCTCTAAGAAAATTTCTCATCATTATCAGCACTGCTTTGGGTTTTTCACTTTTGAAGTGAGAAGTTTATCCTCTTCCAATAGAGGGATTGTGGCTTTATTGCTGGTAAATTCTTTTTCTTTCCCCTACTAGAATTTACTGCCAATTTCTTGGGATATTCGTTTTCTCTGTAATATTAATTACATTTTACAAGCATTTCCATCCAACAGTTAAACGTCTCCATCAATATACAGCAAGTTTGGCAACATAGAGCTTGTGGAGGCCGCCGTTCGTAGTCCTTTTTTTTGTTCTCTTCAAAAGCTTAAATCCATTTTTACAACGCTTTACTCGAATAGTTGGCTGACGTCTCCATCAAATGTCAATCCAACGGACGAGGATTCCCAAAAGGAGGAGCAATGGCTTTTTATATTACCACTCAATAAGAAGTACTCCCCAATAGGCAAAGGTGAAACTGTGAAGGGAGCCAACAACAAGGCGAGGGAACCAAGGGAAGAAAACGACGACTCCAAGCAGACAAGACAACCAATAAAGCGCATTTGTGGACTGTCAATAAGGGCATTCGTTTTGCTCAAGTTTTGAATGTAGACAGGTGACAAAATCCAGAAATCTATGCCTCTTTTTTATAAGCTAGAAACAGTTTTCGATTATACACAACCCTAATTTATAAACCAGAGCGAGAGAGGGAGAGAAGGAAAACCTACGTCATGAGATTACATACAACCAAACACATTGTTGACTTCCACTGACCGACCCTCAAACCATATAAACATGACATAAGGTTTTCAAACCAGTTAATGTCAACTATCATGAACTCACAAGGCTATAGATTTGGATGCAGATATATTTGTCTCCATGTTTGCTCCAAGCCTACCGCAAGGTTAAACCGAGAACCGACTCCAGAGTCTTGACTAAAACACTAGGTTTATGTACTTTTTGTCACCTCCGTCGTCGTTTTGTATCCACCTGAAACACAATGTTGATGTTACAGTTATAACAAAAACATACCAGCTGAAGAATATAGCAAGACCATTGATACAGTTCAATCAGAAACTTAAACTAATACAAGCAGTCACAAAAACCCCTATTCATTCTCATTAAAAAGGACAACAACCAGTGATTACCACTAGGATCTCTCATTAAGGCATGAGCTCTAGATTCATGAAGACATAAACTAATAACACTTGAGCATACCCCATTGTACACTTTTCCTTTCGCACTATGTTATTCGCTGTTGTCATACATGGCCTTGAAAAATTTCATTGCAGAAGTTTACTACTGTATTTACGCACAGCTGCCACGAACTCAACAAACAACTCTTAAGAAATAAAAATTACCCAAGAAATAAAAATTACCCAAACATTCTCCTAAGAGATAAGCGCATTCTCCATTTTCTAACTCCCTAGCATGCACATAACTGACTCTCACTTACCCATCAAGTCATCAATCCATCTATCTTAATATCTGTGACTGTCATCACTCCATGGTTCTGGAATCTTCTCAATTCAGAAATTGAAACAAAATAAAAAGGCATATACAAAAAAGATAAAACATGGCAAATGAACAACTAAATTCGTGACTATAGTTAATAAAGCAAAGGGAGGTGGGATCATAGCTTGGGAATTATAAACAACACCAAGTTTAGAAGGCTCTTCTGCCTCCTTTTGGTAAAAAGCTGGATTTTAATGTGACTATTCCTGTTATTTATCATTGCGTCATCAACTGATTACTAATTAAGAACATAGATTTTGACCCACATTCATCCTGAAGGTCAAATGATCATGCATTGGTGAATAATTACAACTTTGAATGGGACCTAATAATTCTGCTTGTGTGGATAACATAAAAGGCATTTCAATGCCAACTCGAAATCCATCAGGCATCCAAGTTGCCTCGAGTCCAGGCAAGATATAAACTATGTGCTGAATAACTAGCAAAGACTACCAAATTAAAGGACAAGGAAGCAGTAGTACCTTTGCATCTGAGTGTCTAGATGCGGAATGGGAATTTTGCAACTTCTTCTGACCTTCAGATGAACAACTTTCACAAAAGAAGTGGTCAAGTCTTTTTGCCTCGTCTGTGGTCATTTCTATACAAGCAGGATGAAACCTGAATCAAAAGTAGTAAGCTGAATATGGCAACAGCTTTTACAGCATACTATATAAATTGGATGCATTTAATTCACAGAATTTGTAAACAAAAAACCTTTAAATCTGACATGAAAGTAAACCAGACAAAAAGTCTTTCCGAGACTAGCCTTTAAAAGTCTATAAAACTAATTTTCCTAACTACGATCAAGCATAAGCCTCAACCTAAGAAGGTACATAAAGTGAAAATCTAGCCAATCTCTATGTGTCTATAGCATGCTTCCCAACCATATGAGACATCACCCCATGTTAATGTTTTGTATTTCACAGAAAACAGTCAGACTTCTGAACACTGCTTGGATCTTTATTAATGTGTATTACTTCTTTATAACACACAAGAATAAAAAAAGGTATCAATAGATGCAAATTCATAAAGTTTAGCAAGTAATTCTCCAAAATTTGCTCCTATAATACTATCTGGGTTTTCAATTTAAAATCTACCAACTAAATGCTAATAATTTTTTATTTCTACATCCACAGGAGCTATAGATGTGAACCCTGCATTTCAGCAAAGACCACACGTATCAAAACAATTTATATCAAGACAATCAACTACACAGAGCATATAAAGGCTAAAGGCCTATAGACCAGTAGGACCATCCACCCCCCCCCCCCCCAAAACACACACTCAGGCTCAAAGGGATGAATAAAGTCAAGCTTAGGTCCAGCACTTTGATATAACCTTCTCATGGAAAATCAGGTGTCTCACGTCCAGCAAAGGACAACAAAGACTTCGATTGCAACACAACTGTATAAATGCTTCTAAATTGGCCGACAAGGAGCTTCTATAGAGTTATTTTCTTAAAAGAAAAAGCTAATTAAAGCATAGCCATACTAGCATTGAACAAAGCGGAAAGAAAAATGTTCTGTTTCCACAGCAGACATGCAGAAGCAAATAAAATATCATCATTCCACTATAGGTCCAAACTTTAAACTTCTTTACCCATTTTTGCTCCAACTTCAAGTGGCAGCGAAAATAATACCATTCAAATCTTTTTCAAAAGGACTGCTGGTTAACAACAGCTAAAACCATAGCCTATCCACAACTCTAATAAATTGCTTTTACATCCTTGCATAGATGTATTTGAGAATTGATTTGTGCAAGCTTATAAACGATGAAGTATTTAAAAGAAAAATCAATTATAGCTAGAAAAGCCTTCTGGAAAGAACTCTTATTGCATATTTTGACAACTTCATACAAAAGATTCATCCAGACATCAACAATACCTGACATATAAGATGTGAAAATAAAGGCTCAACAGAAATAGCTATCTCCCAAAGCATCCAACTTACCAGTCACTACAACCTTCGCACTGAACCATTAGGTCATCAGGATTGTAAGGCATCTCGCATTTGCAATAACTGCCACGTTACAAAACAATTTAGAAAAGTTCAAATAAAATTTAAATAGAATAACCTAAAATCCAAAGTTGCAAAACACCCCATCTTCCTTTTAAACAAAGACATTTACTTGCTCTAATCGGTTCCCTTATGTTTTTCATTTTGATCAATAAAATTCCAATAATTTAAGTAGCAACTCATATGCAATTACACCTACAAATAACGTAGTAAGCTAAGAAACCATATGAAAACTTGAATTTAAGTACCCTTATATATGTAATGCACGAATATGAGCAAAATCAAATTAACATTTTTCCCAAACATAAATTAATCAAAGTATTAAGCTATGAAAAACCACTAAAATTTGCGACCTTAATTCTCAAAATGCAGAAATTTTAGCAATTTCACTTACTAGTGATCCCGAACATAAATTAATCTAAAAATTATGCATAAAAATTTAAAATTTTCTTTTCTAATATTCAAGTCAATGTATAATCAACTTAAATTGACCACCCTAACCTTAGTCAAGTGCTTAACTAATCAAAACATCATTAGACAAAAATTAACAAGAAAATCGCTCATTAGGCTACTAAAGTATGAAATTTGAAAAAAAAATAAAAGGGAAAAATAAGCCTAATTACTAATTATCTACTCAGAAATCAAGAACATTTATTGAAACAAAAAGTTAAAAGGAAAAAAGAAGAGGAACGTACACGGCAACGCGATCGGGGTTGAAAGCACCGGTGGAGGAATTATATTCGAAACGACAGAAGAAGTCGTCGTTTCCGACGGCGTCAAGCTTGGTATAGCTCTTGAAGCTATGGACCGTACACTTTCCTTCGATGGTATCAGCGCTTTGCACATCATAATGATCAGACAAGAAAACCTCTTTAGATCCATGGAACTGTCTCCTCCCACCGATCGACTCCTCCGGCCTATAGTACCACCTCACGTGCACCTTCACGTTTCCCCCACGTGAGTCCGCCTCGATCCGCTCGATTCTCGCCACGTATTGCTGTTTCGATTGATCCGCTGGTCGCATCAACACGCAATCCCCCGCTGCCAATCACCACAACCTTAAACCTTTTAGAAAAAAACCTTTACCTCCTACAAATTTCTCTCTTTATTTTTTTCTTAACATCTCTTCTTTGGCTTACCTTTGATTGTTTTGTTGATGTGCTTGACTGTGTAAGAGTCTAGAGTTCTCCTTGGAGCTTTGGCCTTGGCCATGGAAGAAAAACAAAAGAAAAAAAAAATCAGATATGCGATTGATCAGAGAAATACGCTACCAAGGCATGCACAAGGACAAGAGAGAGATTGTGGACTGACAAAAATAAATTTTAAAAAAATAATTATTTCTTTGTTTTTTCTTTTCTGTTTTGTTAAACTCCATTTATTTTTGGCGGGGAGGTGAGTTCCGGTGTTTTTAGTGGGTATGGTAAAAGTTGTGTTTGGGGGTTTAATCAGCGTTGAAATGCTTTCAAAAGGGGATAAGATTGGAATTGAGGTGAAAGTTGGGGGGGTTTTACGGGAGATAAAAAGGAAAGATGAGTGAGGGTCCACGTCAGCCGGTGATTGGATTTGGTCACAAGATTTTCGAGCTGCGAGGGAGCGTGTGGGAGCGGTGACGTTTCACGTTATGGGGAATTGGGAGGTCGGATTCGGTGCAACCAGAATTACTTTTACGAAAGTTCTGGAGCTTACCTTCATTGTTGCCACGTAATCATTCTTGAAATAATGGTTTATGATGCTGCCACGCAAGCTTTCTTTGGATCTAGCTGTCTTCAAATATGGCCGCATTAGATATATATAAAATATATTTAGCATTTGTTTTTTATATTTTTTACCAAATATTCTAATTTAATTTTCCCCCAAAAAATTATATTTTTAAAAAAGGACTAATAAATTGGTATCAACTTTTTTTTAAAGGAATTAATTTCAGTTTTTAGAGGAAGTTTTTGAAATTTATATTAGGAAAAGAGTGAGGAAGAGGAATGTCTAAGTTTAAGCGTAGAAACGAGCACAGAGAATAAATGCCTAAAAGGAAATCCAACGGATGAGGGAGATGGTCGTAAGTAATGTCGGCGAATCAAACGTTGACTTGTTAAGCCCGGGATATTTGTTTTGACTCCATCGAACGAGATTGTTTATTATTTGGATTTCGAATTCTTCTGTGCAAACTCAAACGTTAGGTGTTTCAAGAAGCTGTTTGGTTGGTAATAAATGCCGGATAAAGAAAAGAAATATATAAGTTGAAATAAATCAATTTTCAAGTTCAAGAGCAAACAATGAATAAATGAGCAAAGCCAAAAAAAGTCAAAGTAACCATATTTCTGGAAATTATTGGCAGTATAATTCAATATGAAATTCTTGGATGGTTCAATTTTCAGCAGAAAGCTTTGCCAAAAGAGGAATATGCAGCGTAATCATCAAGTTGATTAATTTCTAAAACTATACGTGTGTCCTTTTTTACACTGTAAAATACAATATACTTTTGAATTTTGGTCTGGAATCAGGAATTGGATTTTTTTAAAAAATTATGTAAATCCAAGTAAGATCAAAACAGTCTTGTTCATGGGTGAATCATAGTCAAACCCCATGACCATGAGCTAGGTTTAAAAAGAGGCTGTACCAACTTCCTTACAAGAAGTGGGCCATAACCTTGGTTGTCCTTCAATATCTAACCTCTACTCCAACAGAATTTTTTTAAATATTTATATAATTAAATAAATATATTTAATTAAATAAATAATTAATTATTATATAATAATTAAATTATAATTATTAATTAATTAATAAAAATAAAATATATAATAAAAACACATAGTGAAGTTTGAATAAAAAACATCAAAATTTTAAGATCTTTTATTTGCTATTAAATCAAGCTTCATTGGTTTTTTTTTTTTTGTACATAAAAAACCAGAATTAAAAAAAAAAGTTAGGATTTGAAATTTAAATTTATTAATTATTTTTTTTTTAAGACAATCATTAAAGCTAATTTGCTCTAATGCAATTCTTAGGTACAAAGGAATGGGGAGACCCCAAAAGTTGCCCATTAATTCAAGGGAAAAAACTGGAAAATTTTCATCCCACAAGAATAAAAGTTGGAAGCCATCAACCTTATTACATATGGTGATAGCACAAATGGCCAATGTCCTACTTTGGCATTAAATTCCATTGACATGATGCGAATGTCATCATCCTTATTATTATCTGCTTCACTCTTTTCTTTTTAGGATAAACATGTCATATAGCATCATCAGAGCTTATAGGCACTTTAAATGAGAAGCTACCTAATGTTTAAAGTTAGTTATTTGTTACCAATCGTTTTACAAGTGAAATCTTTGATGCATCTCCCCAAGTTTCTTCAAAAACCACCAATAAATTTTGTGTTGACTTCAACCAGGATCTGGGAACATGGTACCTGAAAACATGACACGTTTGGAAGACAGTTAACTAGTTCTCATTTCAATCATTCATTCATGAATGTTGACTTCTCAGAGTTTGTACCATTGCTGAGTTGGATTGCCGCAACCAAAATGACACTTGGTCTGACGAAATGAACCAACATAGCTGCATTCACTGCAATTACCATTTGCTGAAGCAGTCCAATATCGGCCTATGCTCTGTCCATTGATCCATGCTTGGCCTTTTCCCATGCTACTCATGTCCAAAGCTAAGGGATCATCTCCTTCCGGAGCATCAAAAAATGCCTGGAGGTTCAATTCATAGTTTCTTATTTATAATTGCGTGGGCTGTAAGGGTTTGGTTAAGCTACATTTTCAATGAACAGATATATATATGTATATATATATATATATATTATAACTTCATATCCGTTTCCTTACCTTATACCAGGTTAATGGATGTTGTTTCTGAGCTGCAAAGGATCCTTTGATCCAATCAATTGATGGGATAGAATTTGGAGAACCTAGATTATTGGCTTCTCCCTTAAGGCCAACCTGTATGTGCAAGGGAATCAATCACGAGGAAGAAAGTTATTGGAAAACCATGAAAGCACAAAAGAGAAATTGGTCAACCTTATATGACCATTTCTGCCAGGTTAAGTCCCTTTGTCCTTCATCTAGCCCATGAAGAACAACTGGTCCTAGGACTCCTGTGTTCCATGTCTCAAAATGCGGACCAATATTCTTCAACAACAGAAAATTTTGAAGATGAAATCAGTCAAAAGATTTATATGGCGAAAATTGGATTCTAATGCTTAAAACCTCAGCCTAATTGTTAGATCTTTGAATTATCTGTCTCCCATTATTGTCTTTTAACTACATGCTAGTGTCACATGATCATTACCTTCTTCCTTCAAAATTAACTTATTAAGATATGCAGCATCAACATTTTTATAATTCATAATCCTCTTTTCATGTCCATATTCAATGTGAGATTGGAGTACCTACCTTTCCTCTCTTAGAGAATTTGGCATAACATTCTCCCACATCCAACCTCTTCCCTCAAAACACTTAACAATGTGTGCAGTGTCAATGTTTTTATACCTTAGTGACTATTTTTATACCCTAGTGACTCATCTTTCATGTCTGATGTGGGATTAAAGTATTTTTCTTATCCCTTTAGAGCGCTTAGCATGACACTAGTGTCACGAGCCGAGACTCAACCTCCAGATCCGTGTGACTCTAAGATCCGAGGCATGGACTCATCCGACGTCTCAGATCAATTTAACGGAAACAATTCACACCCTTATGAGGTATTATCCGCTCTTATCCTATAAAAGATGCCTCATAAGAAAGAAGCGGTGTGAACTCTTATATCCTAAAATCAACTTTAGTACTCAACCAATGTGGGATTCTTGGTTTCACTTCAAACATCTTCCCCCACTCCAACGAGGATCCACCATTTTCAGTGGCATATCGCTAATACCTGACAATGGGTGTAATCCGAAAAAGGATTCATAAGTGGTTGTTAATGGAGTCGAAGTTACCAAATTCTGAGAAGTCGGTATCAATTTATGCCTAATTACTTCGCATATAGTTCTTCTAACTACATTTTCTAAACGAACCAGAGCCAATCCGAATTGATCTTGTAAGAGATCCGCTACAGAACGAATACGCTTATTTTTCAAATGATTCATATCGTCAAGTGTACCCATTCCAAATTTCATTCCAATCAAATGATCCGCAGCTGCCAATATATCTCGCGGTAACAAAAATGTATTGTTCTGAGGTATATTAAGATTCAGTCTCTGGTTCATATTTCGTCGACCAATCCTTCCTAATTCACATCTTTGCTGAAAGAATTTCTTTTGTAATTCCTTACACAAGGATTCAGAAAATACCGGATCCCCGCCTACACAAGAAAATTGTTGATAAAACTTCAAAATGGCTTTTTTTTTTACCCAATTTTTTTTTCTCACAGGTCGAGACTCAACCTCCAAGCCTGAGTGGCTCCAGGACTGGGGGCATGAACTCATCCAGCATCGAACACTTATTAAGGTGTGCAGAGCCGCTTTGCGTGAGTCGAACAGTCCAAGGCCTGCTCAATACTACTTGTCACATGCCCATTACCCTTTTCCCTCAAAACACTTATCAAGGTGTGCAGTGTCAATGTTTTTATACCTTAGTGACTATTTTTATACCCTAGTGACTCATATTTCATGTCTGATGTGGGATTTAAGTATCCTTCTTACCCCCTTAGAACATTTAGCATGACACTAGTGTCACGGGCTGAGACTCAACCTTCAAACCCGTGCGGCTCTAGGACCCGGGGCATGGACTCATTCGATATCCCAGATCAATTTAATGATCACAGTTCACACCCTTGTGAAGTATTATCTGCTCTTATCCTACAAAAGACGTCTCATAAGGAGGAGGCGATGTACACCCTTATATCCCAAAATCAACTCTAGTACTCAGCCGATGTGAGATTCTTGGTTTCACTTCAAGATCGTGACATCTTCTCACACTCCAACGAAGATCTACAGTCCTCGATGGCACATCGCTAATACCTTCAAAACTGGCTCAAATATCACTTGTCACAGATCGAGACTTAACCTCCAGACCCGCACGGCTCCAGGATTGGAGGCATTGACTCATCGGGCGTCGAACACTTATCAAGGTGTGCAGAGCCGCTTTGCGTGCGTCGAACAGTCCAAGGCCTGCTCTAATACTACTTGTCACATGCCCATTACCCTCTTTCTTCAAAACACTTATCAAGGTGTGTAGTATCAATGTTTTTATACCTTAGTGACTGTTTTTATACCCTAGTGACTCATCTTTCATGTTCGACGTGACTCTTTATTCAAAACACTTATCAAGGTGTGCAGTATCAATGTTTTTATACCCTAGTGACTCATCTTTCATGTCCGATGTGAGATTGAAGTATCCTTTTTACCCCCTTAGAGGGCTTAGCATGACACTAGTATCACGGGCCGAGACTCAACCTCTAGACCCGTATAGCTTCAGGACCTGGGGTATGGACTCAACATCCCATATCAATTTAACAGTCACAGTTCACACTCTTTTGA